AAAGTAGGGAGGTTTACTTCTTGTTTGCTGGTTCCTCCTGTGTGGGGGGACGGGGGAGAAAATTGGGGGGCGGGGGTTGTAATAAAATCATACAGCATACAGAGCATACAGAGATGTTTATGAGAACAGAGAATTCTGACTGGTGTTTGTCAAATTAACATTTGCTGTATGTATTGTTAATTCACTGGTCTTGTGTTTGCTTAATGTTTGTATTTTCAGTTCTTGCTTGCTTTTGAATGTTTTTAAAGCTACCCGTCTCAATTCTGCTTCTTTCATAACAGCTGCTCCTGCTGAGATTATTAAATCCTATATTGTTACATGATTTGTGGTGACAGAATCGGACCTGTTGTTTCAGGCTCTGGACCTTGACATTTCAGGCTGTAACTGTCACGTACAATGACCAGTGAAGGAGAAGTTATAGAAATGATTTATGCTGCATCAATTAATAAAAGGTTTCCAGTATTTCCAAAGCACAGTTAAATTGATAAAAGTAATTGTATTTATAGAAATGTTTTGCTTCTTGCAGGCATAATGTTTGGTTTGTTGCCTCTGACTGTCCTTGGGTGCGTTATGAGTTCCAGGGTTGGATCCCTGCAGCATCACCTTGGACAGGAGGCACAAAGACAAACCTGGGACCACACTGGGGGAAGAACAGTATTCTAGTATTCAGCTGTCCCTGGACCAGTGACTGGGCCTTCCAAGCCAGGAATAAATGTAATAACAATGTGGAAAATAAAACGAAATGAGGGAAAAACGCATCAATGCAGGGGGATAAACCAATAACACTTTAATAGCGCATCCCTGAAGCACCTCTATGTCACACGGCAGCACCGTGACACAGCGTCAGTCACACACAGGGGTCACAGTTAAGAGGGTTTCCCAGCTGCTCTTTCAGACATGACAACCCCCCCAGACCTGTGACTGTGTGTGTGTGTGGGGGGGGGGGTGCAATACAAGGGACAGTGCAGGCTGGTATTAGTGACTAATATACTGGGCTGGATATTTGGGTCTGGGGTGTACGTGTGTCATGGTGTCTGAGCGCTCATTTTAGGGGTCGTCACTGTGGGGGGGTGACCAATGAGCAGGTTTGTGGGAGGAGCCTGTGTCCGCCTGGCTGTCAGTGGGCCGGTACCAGGGCTCTCTCAGTGCTGGATCCTGCGGATGGACTGGATCTGGGGCGTCTGGCTGTGGGAGCCCCAGTCCCTCCAGTGCTGGTAGTCCCCGCAGTGCCGCTCACACTCCATGATGTACTGCTGCCCCCTGTAGCCCGGGTACTGGTAGCACACGAATCTGTGGATGGACAGAGACAAGTCTCCTGAAGGGGCACCCCAGTCGGGGGGGGGTCTGGTTGGCCGGGGCTGGCAGGACAAAAGCAACCCTGGGCCTTATTAGGAGCCTCAGGACTGTGTCATGTGACCAGACTCCATCAACAGGGATTTATGTCATGTGACCAGAGCTTTGGGGACCCACCAACAGAGGGATGTAGAGCTTTGGAAGTTTATACAATGATACTATGCTGTCGTATTCTTGACAGCTAAACTGGCAAACGGACGTAAACATGCTCTGAGTGGACCTAACTGTCCATGGGTCTATGTGTAATGCCACGGGTGGCCATGAGGGGGCGTCGGCCCACTCACGCTCCACACTGCACGTGCATGGATCCGACTTCGTGGTTGCACCAGCCCATGGCCTGCAGGGAGGGGTAGTCATCGCACAGCTCGGCACTGCGGCCCATGAAGTTCTCCTTCTCGAAGATCGTCATGCGGCTGCACTGGTGGGACTGTGCAGGGAAGGCGTGAGGGAGAGACGCACATGCACACACAGGTGAGAGGAAACATCAACCTGCATAGACACTCCTTCACCAGGTAGTATGGCAGCTATTCGAAACCAAATGGCCATTGGTTTGACCCAAAAAAGAAACTCTGCTGTTCGATCTGGAAGCAACACACTCAAAACAACAGAAACATGCTAAAGCGACCAAAACTGCGAGACAGCTACTGACTGCACAGTAGATGGGGCGGAATGACATCATCCTCTCCACGTGGTAGGACAGATTCCCACTATAGGCGTCCCAGTGAGGGTACTCTCCTCTCTCCAGGACAAACTGCTGGCCCTGGAAATCATGGTGCTCAAAGCCCACCCAGCTTTGGAGAAAGATGGAAAGAAGCAATCAGAAGAGAAGACAAAGGATGAGGTCAGCACACCATCTACGTATGGACGGACCGCACAGCAAAAGGGAAGTTGCCTGTGTGGAAACTTGGGGATAGATAGTCATGTATCGCTGAGTTTGTGGAGGCCTACAGTGGTCCTTATCCCGTGAGCAGACACTCACGCTCCGCTCTCCACCCTGACGGAGCGGATGTTGTCAAAGCCGCAGTCCTGGATGTTGCAGCACTCGGTGGTGAACTCCTGCCAACGACCTTGGAAGTGTTCCTGCTCAAACACGGTCATCTGCAGAACGGGGGGGGGGGGGGGGGTTATAGGCATAACAGGCAGTCACCTAAGGCCCCCGAATTAGCTGCATTGTGGAGGAAATGAAACCATCCCAAGTGGGCCCCCAAGAAAAGCTTTGCCCAGGGGCCCTGAAGAGGTAGAACGGGCCCTGATATAGTTTAAATAAATACCCTGAAGAAAGGAGCCGTTCCCATTCCGAATCCCATCATGGAGGGTCTGACAGACTTCTGCATCTTCACAGCTGACGCGTATTCCTGAGAGAGACAGAGAAAATAATTACTTTTGCTTATCGTAGATTTATGGTAACTCAATTCTTAAACTGCCGTTGCCCTTATGAACCCAGAATGAGATCAATACACTCAGCTAAACTCCGTGTTTATGTGAAGGCTACGTGCGCAGTATTCATTTTCTTGCCAAAGCGAAAATACAATTATTTTATTGTTTCCGGTAAAAACACTCTGTACAACATTGTTTCCTATCCCCACAGAAGTTGCAAAGTGCTCTCATTATTTTCTTCTCATTACTTTTGTTCGTAACAGGTAAGGTCAGCATACATGGGCTATTTTCGAAAATGCAAATATCAAAATCATAGAAATCAACCTGAAAAGGCTTATTAATATTTCTTGACCCCACGACAAAATTTACAGATACTCATTAAAATAACTGTAAGAAATAAATACAGGTACTAATTCTATACATTTTACAAACGTGATCCAAAACATTACTGGGTTCCCTGTTAAAGTCACATGATTAATTAATTCGTAACTTGAGCAGCATTTTTTCCCTGCATTTACAATGGGATTAAAGTGAAATGGCCTCTTACCGAGCCGGTAACACGGCAAAGGGAGTTTGCACTATAGCGCCCGGTTTGCTGTGGGAATCTGGCGCTCGGGTTTTATACCGACAGCCGCATTGTGCGCACGGACACGCACCTCGGTGACGCTGTAGGGAAAATATGACCGACTCAGCATCGTTACTGCATGGCCCATTCTGCACATCGCGTCTAATGGGGACATGTTTGTGTCAATGGGGGCCCGACAAAGGGACGCGTCCGTTATCAAAGTACATGTCAGCAGTGTCTATCGCGGGCAGCACAAAAGGCTGGGCATAGGCGGGGAATTTGGGAATTAACCGTTTGCACCCATGGCTGCAAATTACTGGACGCACCGTGTGTGCAGTCTCAGAAAAAAAGGTACACATTTGTACCTTTGCTTGTCAGTGGGGCTGTACTCTTGTCATTGATCCGTTAAGGTACAGAAGTAGGAGGAACATCCCAAAGGTGCAAACAGCATTAATGTACCATCAGTGGTACTGAAATGAGTCCATTTGTGTACCTTAAAAGATACAGTTACCTACAGCTAGGGTACACGTGGCAGACGCTTGAGGGTACAAGTCAGTGATAAGCAAAGGTACAACGTTTTACCCTTTTTTCTGTGCAGGGAATGAATATCAGTGTGTAAATGTGGTTTTGTCAATGCAGCCTAGGTCCTGAAATTTTTCCAACATTTTATACTGCATTTTTGTCAATTTGCACATTCCACATAGCTACCTCATCCCCATGTAGCTCTGCAAATTTATCGCTTATTTATTTCACTGCCTTGTTGTGTGTCCCATCCACCTGTGACTGCGGCACAATATCTCACTGTTTTCCAAATACATGTGACAAGAAACCTCGGAACTGGAACTTGGAAGCTTGTGACCTCAGTCTCCAGCCGTTCTGCGTCTGAGAGATTGTAGTCTCGCCGTTAACGGGGTAAATAAGTGAATAAGTGAACATGTCAAACAAGCAGCAAATTCACATGAAACTAAAGATCAAGCAATTTCGTTTTGTCAAAGCTTCAGACGTTCAGCGTTGCATGTCTGTAATAGCGCTGAAAGCAGTTTGTGTCCCTCTCGCCTGGCTCTCTTCCGGACGGCGTTTGATGACGGAGGGTTTTCTATTGTTCGGCTCCTATGGTCTCAGCGGGTTTTGCCTTTCTGCCTGAAATCCTGTCCCGGGGTGAACCAGTATATATAAACGACGGGAGTGAGGTGGGCGATGTGCACACATACATAAATCAGCTCCACGCGTAACGGTAAGAAACGGGAAGGGAGAGGGAGCTCAAGAGAAGTGGGACAGTTATCGGGAAAAAGTGACAGAAACTGCTTGACTTTTAGTAGTAGCGTAAGCAGAAGTTAATCTATCAACACACAGGATGCTTGGGAAAAAATTAGCAATCTATAAGATATCAGTAATCATCAGCAATTTGCTACATTTTCTCCTCTGTTACCATTTATGTATTCATGTGTCCCTGTTTCTCAGTCGTCATGTCTACTAGCGGAGAGAAGTCCAGCAAGACCCCCTCCCAGACTGATGGGAGGACTGCCCCAGGCAAGACGTCCGATCCCGGCATGATGGCCTACAAGGTAAGGAGGAGCAAATACACAGGAAATGCAGAAATAAAAAGCATACATACACAACATGACCAACGTGGTGAAACATCACATAAAAACTGCTACAGGAGCTCTAGAAAGTCTACCAGTGACTGTGAATGAGAGTAGGTGTTAACCCTACTGGTGTAGACATATAGCCGACAGAATGATAGGTCGTAATAATCCTATTTCCCGCCAACTATATTCTCTTGCAGATGTGTGTTTTCGACCAGGAGAATTTCCAGGGCAAGTGTATGGAGATTACTGGAGAGTGCATGAACGTCTGTGAGGGCGGCATCGACAGAGTGCGCTCCCTGCGCGTTGACTGTGGCCCGTGAGTCTCCCGCCCCCAGCCTGCATACAGTCACGGTGATAAGGTGTCCCTCGTGGGTTCGGGGGCTGACGGAATTCGCCAAGCCATCTATGTAACTGCCCTCAGCCTTACGGGGCAAGCCGATGCAGAGATTCGTGACATTGCTGGGGCATTTGCTGACAATGATGCCCCGTCGCTCTCTGTGCACCCAGCTTTGTCGGCTACGAGCAGATGAAATTCTGTGGTGAGATGTACGTCCTAGAGAAGGGGGAGTACCCTCGCTGGGACTCATGGAGCAACAACTACAGGAATGACTTCCTCATGTCCTTCAGGCCTGTCAGAATGGTAGTGCTTTTGCATATTTGCTTGTAAGTTTCTGATAATTTGTACACTGTGCACTATATTTACTTGCTGGGGCTTCTGTCAGGACCCAGAGAAGCACAAGATCTGCCTGTACGAGGTCGGGGACTTCAAAGGGCGCAAGATGGAGATCGTGGATGATGACGTGCCCAGCCTGTTTGCGTACGGCTTCACCGACAGAGTCGGTAGCATCATGGTGAGCTGTGGAACGTAAGTGACAGGAGAATCTGCTGTAGGAACTCAAACACAAAAAAATGCCAGTTATCGATGAATGAAACTGAAGAGCAAATTTCCAGAACTAAGTCAGTCCAATTTTTTTGCTTGTTTTGAGATGAGCCATTGACTTAAAGTCAGGCTTCCTCATCATACATGACAGCAACCGGGAAGAAAAACTCGCTCGGTTCTCATGTAACCCAACGGAGAACTTTCATTACGAAGTTCTGAAGACTCACTAAATCGTCAGAAATTCACTTGAAAATGCCTCCTGTGGACTGAGTGAGTTTTAGAAATTTGCTGTTCAGTTAATAGGTTATATTCCAAATATGTCACCGCAGCACATGACAAGGGATGGTGGGGGTTATACTCTCTCTTTCTCTGCAGCTTTGTGGGATACCAGTACCCCGGTTACCGTGGCAGCCAGTACCTGCTGGAGAAGGGTGACTACACTCACTTCAATGAGTACGGCGCCTGCCACCCCCAGATGCAGTCCATCAGACGCATCCGTGACATGCAGTTCCACCCACACGGCTCCTACGTCATGGCCAATCAGTGAGGGGCAAAGAGAGCGAGGAAGACAGAGGAGGGGGAAGAGGGGGAGGAGAGGAGCCTAGTTTAACAATGAGGCCTGGACTGTAGGTCAGGCGCTCGATTGGGACCCTACAGGGGAGAAAAGATCGAGGTGCTTAGCACTTAGCGTGCATGCTAACAGGCTAATGTCATGCTCCTTCGTCAACATTCACATTTGAAATATAAGTACGGCATAAAGAGACTTACTGCTATCTTTCAGTGTTTTTTCTTTTATTTAAAAAGAGAAATTGATTAATTTCTTAAGAAAAAACAAGCATTTCAGAGATATTGATTAGTATATTACTACTTTGTCTACATCTACTTCAAATGTTGGTGAAGCCATGACATATAAACATAATGAGGTAATTAGATAATAAATAAACTAAAATATCTCTGAAATGACAGACCATCCCTCAGCCCTTCTCTTTCTCTCTCAGATCTCTCCCAAATTTGTTATGTTATCTTTTATTTCCCTTTTTCTGTTAATCCCCATTTCCTGGATCCCAGCATGGAAACACACCGATAAGACACACTAATAGCCAGTCATCTCGCTAATGAAATGCCTTGCGATGGGATCTGATGTCCCATCATGAAAATACCTCCCGTTGAAAAAAGGAATACATTGAAATTAACACACCAGTGTACAAATTTCTTGAAATAAAAACACTTGATTTCAGCTAAGCTCTTGTGGGTCTTTTTGACTGCGGACACCATGTTGTTCTCATAACAGCTGCGTCGTCTTCCTGTCTCTGCAGCCAGGACATCATCACTTTCTTTGACTTTGTTTACGCATCATTGATGATCTTCTGCACCAGAGTTTCTCAATCCAGTCCTCAGGGACCCCAGACCTTCTACATTTTTGCTCCCCCCCCCCCCGAGGATCGGGTTGAGAAACACTATTCAGCATCACGCTCCAACTGCACTTTTATATACGAGTAATAATTCAAAATGAGGAAACCATTTCCATAGAGGGGAAAGAAACAGACTCAAAAGAAAACTAATATATAAAAGTTGAAGAAGAATAATAATATAGTAACCAACACTGGTATGTAAGGAGTTTTAAAGTTTATTAAATTTACATATGCATGGAAAACGTGATTAAAGTTCTCCATCCTATCTAATGTTGGAAGTGGAATTGGTGTTTGAAAGGCTTTGGGTGGGGGGTTTATAATCTTAAAGATGAACTTGCCATTGGATGCTGCCACCTGCTGGTTGGGTTTTTGGATCCTGCCCGCATTCTCCACCATGTTCTTGCAGTTTGCATGTCTTGCCTGTTGTGTGGGGATCCTCCCACAGTCCAAAGACACTTTGTTGTCTCTAAATTGCCAACAGAGTATGCATGTATATACCATATGCTACCTTCACAGGTTCTAATGGTAACAAAATATACAGTCATCAGATTTAACTGATACATATTTGTTTTTAAAACTTTGTTCAAATCTTGTTAAAGAAAACTCAATATATATTCTGAACACACAATTACTTCAAAGCGTTGCAAAAACTTTATTTAGCAGATGTGATTGTCCAACGCAACATCCAAGTCGGGAAAACAGCACATTGAAACAACCCAGGGACACTGGGGCTTTTACACATGCAAAGTAAGCGCTCTGCATTCCCAGCTACACCCTCTATGGAAAAGACATCTAATATAGTATTAACAGCTTGAGAATGTTTCCTATTGTTTTTGTATTTTATCATAACTTGGGTAGGCAAAAATGCATAGACATACTGTCATATTATAAATGCAGAGAAAGTGCTTTTTGAGTGATTGTTCTGTCTAAACTTCAGCTCAGATTGTTTTCTAAGAGCGTCGAAACATGAAGATACACTGTAGCTGCAGTACATACAGTAGCTACTATCAATTGTCATATGCTCAATTTATCAATGTATTGGGTGTATTCTCACAAACAGAAGGGTTTTCTGAGCCTGTCTCGATGTTTTGATTTATGTGGATGTAACCAGTGTGACTGCAGGGTATGGAATGCACCGGAATTCCATCCACCTGTTGGCTTTCTCAGCAATAAGCCCGACGCACGTTCAGAGGCTGTAACCTATTTCAGACGTATCCCTCTCTTCCCGTACTCCCAACCTCATCCTGAGAAAGGTCACCACCTGACCCCCAGTTACTCCACCAATGACCGCCCCCGCTGCAGCCCCCCTGGCCATGCCCTTCAGGGCCCCGGCGATGAGCCCCACTACCGCCCCCACTCCGACTCCCAGGGCCACCGCTGCAAGTCCGCCATAGCGGTCAAGGCTGCAGGTCGAGGGGCCAAATTTCCCCCCCATGTCCCCGGCTCGGCACTCCCCAGTCTTGGGGCCTCCCGGCCGCTTCAGCACTGGGGTAAGCTGATCACCGGCTCCCCCTAGTGGCTGCTCTGCTGGGCCTTCTCTCCAGATCACTGTGGGCAACACAGCAACAAGCATCACAGGCGCTCGCTTAGCACAGATGCTAACATGCTAACATCACAAACATTTAAATTTTTTATTTAATGTAAGCTGCTGCTAGTTCTTAGTTTGTTTTTTTTAAAAGAAATCACTATAAATAAAATTTGTGTGTTTAGTCTTGTCTCTGTAGTGCTGTTTACAAGAGTCCTGAATGCTATACAGCTTCATCATTATTGCCAGTGGCTGTTATTGCAGTGCGATGGCACCAGTGGCAGCCAAAGCTCTGGGTGATTCGCACGGTAACAGGACTCACCGTGGGGGGGCTCCTTTCTGGCCCGTACTTCCTCCTTCTCTCTCGTCAGCCCCCTTTCTTCTGCATTTTTCTCCATCTCCTCTCTCAGCTCCCTTTCTCTTCTCCTCCATGTCTCTTCAAAGTCACGTTTCAGCTCCTCTTCCTTCTCCTTCAGCTTCCACTCGCACCTCCGCCTCATCTCCTCCATCTCCCTCTCCATCTCCCCCAGCCTCTCCCTCAGCCTGCCCTCCCCCTCACCTGTGGACCCCCCTGGACCCCACTCTGCTCTGGGAGGAGGGTCAATCCTGAAGTGCCAGCCGTCATTGGCCACTGTCATCTCGTCGATCCTCTCCAGCAGCTCTGTGACCTGATCCTCCCCCCATTGCTTCCTGTTCGACAGGAAGTGACATCGGCCCCCGCATCGCTCCAGCAGCCCCTGAAGGTGGACCCCCCTCCCCTTCACCTTCTCCTCCAGGGCCTCCCTGCCAATCTTGCCCCCCTTGGTGAAGAGCACGAGGGTGTGGCTCCAAATCCTCTCCCCGAAGAGCCCCAGACAGCCCTCGGCGGCCCTTCTCTGCGTCTCCGTGAACAGGCTCCACGTGGCCGGGATGACCAGCAGGATGGCATGTGGTCCGGAGGGGCACATCGCCACGCTGCGCACCAGCTCTCTACGAAGGCTGTCAGGGACGTCCAGTGTGGAGCCGTCCCAGCCGGGCGTGTCCACCACGCTGACCTGCCTCCCGTCCTTCTCGGCTCGCTTCCGCACGCACGCCTGCGTCTCTCTCCCGCACTCAAACTCCTCTCGGCCCAGGATGACATTGCCTGCTGTGCTCTTGCCGGCCCCCCTCTCCCCCAGGAGGACGATTCGCAGCTGGGACAGCCGGTAAGGCTTGGGAGGCTTCCTCCCTGGCGGATTCAAAAGATTGGTATCAGTAAATTCAATTCTTCTTCTGATTTTTTCCAGTAGCACAATAAATTTCGTATTGAAATTGAACCCATTGATACAAACGTCATCATTTACAGATCAACAGCGCCCTCTGCTGGAGAAAAGGATTAACAACTCACTGACAAGAAAGGGCGATCGACTTCCTGGTTCTTTTACTGGCGGCCGTTTCCGACTGAACATATTTACTTTTTCTTGAGAATATACTGCTGCCCTCCGCTCCCCTTTTACTTCATCTTGTTTTTCTCCGTAGTCCACAGCCTGGAGAGGCAGATAGTTAAAACAAAGGCTTCTTCCCGAGAGCGAACCGATGTGATTAATGAGAGACTTAGCCGAGTATGGAGGGCGGAACGCAGCACTGAAGAGCGCAAAGTCCAGCTCGGCCCTAAGAGTGATTCAGCACTCGCTCCTTATGGGTCTTTTCAGAAAGCCGTGTAATATTTAATGAAAAGTATATTCCGTCTGTGAGACTAAGCTAAGGCATAATGTATAAAACTGGCACCGAAAAGGCAACAATTCACGCACTAATGTGCTTAATAATTCACAGCTGAACATCTCAAAGTGTAACTTAATAATACTGGATTGAGCAAACAGGTTTATATAGAAACTGTAACTCCTGAGGAAAAAAAAATCTGCCTGGAGGGGGCATCATTGTTGCCATATTATCTGCTGTTTCCCCAGAAGCTAAAGGACTCCAACTTTTCCTTGTGTCCAAACAGTCTCCTTTGACAGGAGGGTAGAAGGACAGATGGTGTCCAAATTCTACTCCATCCTGAATAATGAGGTCCACCTTCTGAACAGTGGGCTGTAGAGCTGAGGAGCAGCTTCAGACAATCCTTAGTGCTTCTGCTGTCCTGCACATCCGGCTCAGAGGACACTAAGCCAACTCTTTCACCCTTTACCATGTTATTCCAGCTGCACTAATTTACACACCTTCCTCAGATCTACCACCTGTGCTGGAATGTATTTATTACTGTGCATGACACACACACACACACACACAGACACACACACACACACACGTAATGATGCTAGACAATAAAATCCATTCTGGGGTATCAATAAAACTCTGTTTTTATCGTAAATCTTACACATAGTAGGAAAAGCAACTTAAAAGAAAATAAATGAGATTCCAACAATTTTACAGTTTTATGCAACATGAGAATGTCTCGTTCAGGAGCTACGTGTAGCGTGATTTACACAAATCTTAAACACAAATCTTATTCTTCCAAAAAAAAAACAAATAAATAAATAGAAACCTAGGAACCACCTGCAAACTGGCTTGTCAGGGAGATAATTTACAGTGGTTTACGCTTGTGCTTTAGTGGAGGACCTTTTCGCTTTGGATGCGCCAGGCAGAACTGACGCAAGCGGTTTAGCGCTGGAGCACGTCACAGGTGGATCGACCGGGAACTGAGCCTTCAGCGCCGCCCTTCTGGTGACTTTCCCGCTCTGTGTTTTTGGGGTGACTTCTATTTGCATCTTCAGCGGCGTCGGTGCCTGAGGCAGCTTCAACACGGTTGTCAGAGGCGTTAAGACCGTGCCGGGCTGTAATACAGGGAAGGAGACACCCTGGTCGGCCAGCACAAAGACAACGGGACTCAGGAACTTCGCCCCCTGCTGCTCGTCTGTCGACACCATCCCCGGTCGCACGCCTGGGTCCGGCTCGCAGCCCGGAGCCACACTTCGAGGCAGGATCTTGGGGAACCTGGAGAGTCCGTCGAGCTGTGGGTCCGAGCTCTCAAGCAGAGCGCCGTGGACGGAGCGTTTGTGGGCCTCGAGCAGCGGCAGGTTGTCAAAGTGGGCCTGGCACCGGTCGCATTTTGAGGGCTCGGCGGCGAGGTGCACCCTCCTCCTGTGGCTCCGCATCTCACGGGCGCGGATGAAGCGGCGCTGGCACACGTCGCAGGCATATGGCCTCTCGCCCGTGTGTGTCAGCCGGTGCGACGCCAGGTGGTGCGGCCGTCGGAAGGCGCGCTCGCAGTCCGGGCAGCGGTAGGGCCTCTCACCGCTGTGCGCCCTGCGGTGCAGCTTCACCTCGTACTCCGTCTTGAAGTGCTTCCCGCATTCGGGGCAGCCGTGCGTCCGCTGCAGCCCGTGCCGCACCTTGTGGCCTTTCAGCTCGCCAGCAGTGCGGAAGGCCAGCGGGCACTGGTCGCAGGAAAAGGGCCGCGCATCCGAATGCGTCACCAGATGGCGCTTGAGATGCTTAGAGCAGCGGAAGGTTTTGGGGCACTGCGGGCATGGGTGTGGCCGCTCGCGCTGGTGGGTGACGCGATGGACGCTGAGTGCGCCGGCGTGCCGAAACCTCTTGTGGCACTGCTGGCACTCGTAAGGCCGCTCGCCGGTGTGCGTCCGCTCGTGACTGGCGACCTGGCTCACACTGGAGAAGGCTTTCCCGCAGTGCGTACACATGCAGAGCTTTGGCGCTGCTGTCACCCCGTGCCGCTCCCGCTCCCGCTCCCCACCGTCGTGCGTCCGCATGTGGCTCTTGAGGCCATCGGACCTGAAGAAGCGCCGGGGGCAGCGCGGGCAGCCGTACGGCCGCACGCCGCTGTGCAGGCGCCGGTGCTTGCTGACGGACTCCGGGCGCGTGAAGTGCAGGTGGCACACGTCACAGGCGTAGGGCTTCTGCCCGCTGTGGCTGTGCAGGTGCGACACCAGGCCCTTCCGCTGCTTGAAGGTGCGGCCGCAGTTGGGGCAGGCGTGTCCTGTGGCCGCCGCCTCCGCTCCACCCCCTTCGCTGTGCTTCCTCATGTGTCGGCGGAGGACCCACTCCTTCCCGAAGCTCCTCCCACACTGGACACAGCTGTGGAGGCCGGTCTCCCCCTGTCCACTGCCCAGCTCCAGGGCTTGCTGAAGGGGTACAGCAGCCTTCAGAGCGCCTCCCTCTGGTGGGACTGAGCTCTCCCCCGCTCCTTCAGCCGGCCATGAATCTGGATAGGGGTGATGGTCTGGATCGAGGCCCTCCAGCTCTCCTTCCCCCTTCTCTGCACCGTGTGGCTGGACCTCAATGGCAGTAGTGGCTACTGTGAGCTCGTAATCCACAGACGGCTCGGCCACGACAAAGCAAGCTGCCTCTGGAACCTGCCTGATCTCTATAGCGGCCTTTTCCTGAGCCAGACCTACGGTACAAAAGCCACAAATGTTAGGAGTCATCACCTCCAAATGCTAATTTGTTAGGCTCTAAATTGTCATCTGTAGACACCTTATTTAACATCTGTTAAGCCCCAGAAATGCTGGGTTCACAGGGTGTTAAGATGCCCCCCCCCCCATGACCCACCCAAATTTGAAAAAATAAATAGCTGTAATGACTGTAATTGTAATGATTGTGCAGTAGCCCAGTAATACAAAGTAAAGCCCAGTACAGCTCCCTTCTATCAATGACAATAAAGTTTAATCTAACCCATATCTAACGCTGCTGCTAAGTACAACAGCTAATTTGATCATGCTGATAACATGAAAAGCATAAAAACTAAATTCAAAGTACCTGCCCCAAAACGGTTGTAAATAAAGCATACCCATGTCGTTGTTGTAACTCTCTACCTCTCCATAGTCGTACGCGATGGGCTGGTGATTAGTGGCCGATTCACCGCTGTCAACTTCCACACCAAAACGTTTATCTTGCAAACGATGTTCAGCCGACACGTTCTGCATCTCGCAATCTTTAGCAGCGGCCTCGCCGTGAAAATGGGTGACATTGTCCTTCACCCAGGTAGTAATCTCGGCGGCAATATCTTTCAGGATGCAGTTCATGCAAGAGTGCAAACGCGTTTGGAAATCCAGCAGATAGCAGCCCTCTTCATCAGTGTCTAAAGATTTCTCCGTTCTGTCCACTAGAACAGGCTGATCCACATCTGGCAACTGCGAATGTCTTTCCAGACCTTTAAGTTTCTCTGACAGCCATCTGCTCTCGGCTTCTTTACTGGAGGTATCGCCGTGAAACCGAGCGAACCTGCTTCTCACCAGGTTGGTTATCTCACAAGTCGTTCTTTTCAGGAGCAAATCCATGCACATGTTTAGATGTAACTGAAAGGTCAATAGAAACGCGCTTTCTCCCATTCTTTATTTATTATCGTCACTTTATATTCCGGGATCTGGCGGTGTGGGCTATTAATATTTTGGGATCGGCAATAAATACACACCATACACCCATTTCCACATGTACGTCTTCTTCGCTGACATTCTCGTTGGCAAGGGTTGGAAAAGCCCCGAGTTCAGTCCGCCACCGCCACCTATCGGATGGGAATACAAATCAAGAACGCCCGTACTCTATATTTTCCCACATATTGCCCCGGATGTTTCATATTTAAACTAAAATATTTAAAGAGTACAACTAATCGCATTTATAGGATATCTAAAACGAAATACGTAAACACAACGAGACGTAAACATATCTACTAATCGGTGTCTTAAATCCTAGCAGTAAACTAGATCTGGTGCTGTCAAAAACGATAACATAGTATTCCCCGGACAGTCCCGTCATTTGGTCGGCTAATTTATAAAGGTTTCGTCGCATTTGCTCCATCAAATACACACTACCACCAATAAGCCGAGTGCAGCGTGCTTAATGTGCACTAACCACACTTCGGCAAATACCGCAAGGAACGGTCTTCGGCTATGCATGTGGACCACAATGCACCGCATCAGCGACGTCGAGTGTTTACATCGAGCACGAGGAAGTCTGTCGGCGTATCAGAACGCAGCACGCCTGTCACGACAGTGGATTTGAGTCGCGCATGCGTTGTCGATCGGAGTCAACCGCGTTAAAATATTATAGTAATAAAGGACTTTAGACCATCTGTCAAACCTGCAGCCTTACCAATTTCAGAAAGTTAAGGCCCTTCTCATGTATTTGCATGCATTTTTTAATAAAATGATTGTGATTACCTTTAATTGTCTGTATTGAAACTGACAAAGCCCCTCACAGAAACTGGGCATATACCTTTTTTTGCTTTTAGTTAGTTTTCAGTTTTACTTATTTTTTTAGTTAGTGTTAGTAAGTGTTTAGTTGTTTTTTCATTTTTCTTTCAATACTGGCACACGCGCAACTCATATCCGCGGTTGACACATCCTGTCATGACTGCCTTCTAAGCAGTTTCAATACAAGTGAAAATAAACTTCTGCATAACATAATGTTAAATTTCTGAACAGGCCAAAAACTGACCCTCTGGTTGCCTATTTAAAGTATTTTGTATTTCAGATCAGCTACTAATAAGCAATATCATCAGACCATGATAAAATGTGGATCATAAAACTGACCTTGATTATATTGAAGTCTTCATATTCCATGTTTACCCGAATGACACTGGCAGCATCAATACAGTGATGAACAATCACGAAACACTTACCTGCAAAAAATTAAATGCCATCAAATAAAACTTTATTAATAGAAGACTGAATTATATCTGTGTTAATGCCCACAATTCAGTGTTCTGTGGTTAATGGTACAATTAATCATTCAAATCAAACCTCAAGTTACAGTGGTAGTAAGCATGGACACTGCAGGCACCTCTACACAATGTGTCCAATAAGATATTGTTTCCCAGCCTTTTTTCTGCCATGACACACTTTCCATGAAGCAGGGCAGCAATAAGGACGTTGTGCCCAACAATCACCTACTGAACTTGGTATCAAAAGGCCAAATGGAAACATGAGCGATTATCACTCAACTAAACAATGAACTATTCGGATTGAATCTTTAGTTAATTAATAAACTCAGAATAAGATAATGATGTTGTATTCATCCCTGTGGGGGAAATTCTCTTTTCACCTCCCCCATCTTACTCTCCCTTAGACACCAATAGGTGAGGGTGAGCTGGGGGCTCACAGGGTCACAGTGTGGGTGGGTCAGTTTGCAGTGCCCTCAGGGCTGGGGATCGATGGTCCCGCTCAAGGACCTACAGGCAGCATCAGTCTGTTGACTCTGGGATTTGAACTGGAAACCTTCCGATCAAAGGCTCAGAGTCCTAACCCACAGAGCCACACGCTGCCCACCACCAACAAGCGATGAATCATTGACAAGAATCACCTCAACTATAAATCTCCACCCCCAGGTGTGGTCACCTGTCTGGGCATGTCAATTGAGGTGTTTCATTCAAAGTCATTGCCACAGTTGTATAAAATCGTGCACCTAGCCATGCAGTCAGGTTTACAAACATTTGTGAAAGAATGAGTCATTCCAAAGAGCTCAGTGGATTCAAGCGTGATACTGTCACAGGATGCCACTTTTGCAATAAGTCAATTTGTGAAATTTCTTCCCTGCTAGATATTCCATGGTCAACTGTAAGTGATATTATTGCAAAGTGAAAGTGTTTAGGAACAACAGAAAATCAATCATGAAGTGATAGACCTTGTAGAGTAACAGCGGTTTTGCCATTGGCTGAGGTGCATCGTGAATAAAAGTCACCAACGCTCTGTTGACTCAGTAACTGCAGAGTTCCAAACTCCCTCTGACATTAACCCCAATAAAAACATTGTGTACCAGGAGCTTCATGGAATGGGTTTCCATGGCAGTGCTAGATGTCTGTTGTTGATGATATTTAAGGGGGTTGTAAGAGGCCACATTTTTCCAGTATCACCATGTGATTTTTGTCAGTGCCTGCCCTCAAGTCAAGTCAAGAGATTTATTTGTCACATACATACAACATGCAGTGAAATGTATCTCTGTGTCATCCTTATGTGGCTGTATAAAAATAGAAAGAAATAAAAATAGAAAAAGGTAAGAAGTAAAGTCGGAGTAAAAAAGAGAAATTACAATATATAAATACTAAGTAAGGAACCAAGTATATAATCTAAAATATACAGTGCAGATATAAAATCTAAAATCACGAATCAAAAATATAGTGCAAAACTGAAAAATATGAAATATAGTGCAAAATTGCAGACTATGTGCATTCAGTGCTAGTTCACATTGAAAAGCCTAATGGCCTGGGGGGAAAAAGCTCTTTCTGAGTCTCTCAGGCAACGGAACCGTCTACCTGAATTCAGCCTGCGGAACAGGCAGTTTGCGGGGTGTAAGGAGTCCTTGATTATCTTTGTACTTCTGGACCTGCAGCGTTTATTGTAGGTGTCCAGCAGGGAGGGCAGAGGAGATCTGACACAACGCTCGGCCGCCCAGATCACCCTCTGCAGGTCTTTGCGGTCCTTTTGAGAACAGTTCCCAAACCATACTGTGATGTTCATGGTTAGAATGCTCTCCACAGCAGCTGAGTAGAAGGATTTTAGGATTGCTGGAGTGACCCTAAATCTCCTCAGCTGCCTCAGGTGGTATAACCGCTTCCTTGCTCTGGTGACCAGAGTGCTGACATGCGAGTGCCAAGTGAGGTCCTCAGTGAGCAGAACCCCAAGGTACTTGATTTATCAACCCTCTCCACTGGAACACTGTTGATTTGGAAGAGTGAGAAGGAGCGCTGCTTCTTCTTGCTGTAGTCCACTATCAGCTCTTTAGTTTTGCTGACATTCAGACTGAGGCAGTTGGACCTACACCATACCGACAGGTTCTCCACCTCCCTCAAGTAGGCCGACTCATCGTTGTTGGTGATGAATCCAATTACCACTGTGTCGTCCGCGAACTTCACAATGGTGTTGGAGCTGTAAGAGGCAACACGGTCGTAGGTGTAGAGCGTGTAGAGCAGGGGGCTCAGAACACACCCTTGAGGAGCCCCAGTGCTGAGAGTGATGGTGTCTGACACACGGGATCCCACTCTCACCGTTTGTGGTCTACCAGTGAGGAAGTCTAATACCCACCTGCACAGCTGTGAGTTCAGACCCAGGTCCCCCAGTTTGGTGAACAGTCTAGATGGGGCGATGGTGTTGAAGGCTGAGCTGTAGTCCACAAAGAGCAGCCTTACATTATTCCCATTTCTACTGTCCACATGTGTGAGAGTGGTGTGCAGTACGTGAGCGATGGCGTCCTCAGTAGGGATGGGAACTGAAATTAGGTTCCAAATAAGCACCGATTCGAAAATACCCGGTATCGGGTACCTACTCGTTTTTTTTAAATTTCGGATCTGTAAATCGGTTCTTAAACACCACATCTGCTAGGACGTGTTTGGTTATCTGCCAGGACCTGTCTTAGTTGAGATTCGCTAGTTTGTTTAAAAAAAAAAAAAGTTAAGTCCAAATACACATTTATTTTACATGATGTTAATTTCTTCAGTTATTTATTTAATGTAAAATTGCTAATTGTTAAAAAAAAAAAAGTTGAGTCACCGCTAAATGTTACTGCCAGAGAAGAAGAGTGCTAGCAGTGTTCGACATGGATCGCAAATGGTCAAAAGTGTGGTTTCAGTACACTAAAAAAGGAAACGATACGGCAGCGTGCAACATATGCACAAAATTAATAAGTTGCTCAAAGGGCTGTACATCCAACCTCACCAAACCTTTAAGGCAGCACGGGATCGATCTCAAAGAGTGCACAGTGTTTGATGTCTTGCAGTCTCCGAGTACGAGAAAGCCCTCTTCAGCTAGCGATATCACTACCAATCCAGAATGACGGAGTACTAGCTGCGACACACCATTCACATTAGCAATAAAAGGAAACATGACCAAAGAAAAAATTGAGGAGTGTCATATAGCAGTAACCGCATTTGTGGTTAAAGGTCTACATCCATTTCCATTTGTCGAATATTTTTTATATAATACTACTAACAAAAAATAAAAATTAATGTAATTTATGTTTAATCTATAATTGCAGGGAGACGACCAAAGCCCTAAATCCTAAGTACAGACCTCCCTCCAGAGACAACTTGTCCAATGTATTGATTCCTGCCTTGTACAAAATGGAAAAGGCAAATATTATATCAGAGCTAAATAATGTTAGCAAAGTTTTTTTTTTTTTTACCTTTGTGTAATTGAAATAGGGAATCGATAAGAACCGGAATCGATTAAGCGGAACCGGAATCGTAATCGGAATAGAAAAAATTCAAACGATACCCATCCCTAGTCCTCAGTGGATCTGTTTGGGCGGTAGGCGAACTGTAATGGGTCTATGGAATTTGGGATGGATGAACAGAGATGTTAGGGCTACCGGGCGGTAGTCATTCAGGCTGGAGGGCTTGTTGTGCTTCGGGATGGGAACTATGGTGGACCGTTTAAAACACGTTGGCACAATAGACAGAGCTAGGGACTCATTGAAGATCTTAGTGAAAACACCAGTCAGCTGATCAGCGCAGCATCGCAGAACTCGTCCTGAAATCCCGTCTGGTCCCGCTGCTTTTCTGATGCTCACCTGCTTCAGAGCCCGGCGCACATCGCGCTCTGCCAGGCTAACCAGAGCCGCGCTGCTGTCCTCGCTCACCGAGATCAGACTGTTGTTGTCTCCGCGGTGAGAGCTGTTCATCTCAAACCGTGCGAAGAACACGTTCAGCTCGTCGGCAAACCCAGCGTCAGTGCTCAACGCAACGGCATGTTTATTCTTATAGTCCGTGATTGTATATATTCCTTGCCACAGTCGGCAGGAGTCATGAAGATGAAAATATGACTCCACCCGTTTCCGGTACTGCTGCTTGGCCACTTTCACCACCCGCCGGACTCTGTAGGACTCTGTCTTGTATCGACACATGTCCCCGGTTATCAGTCCTTCGTTGTAAGCAGAGGTGCGGGCATTCACAGCCTCCCGGACGGATCTGTCGACCCACGGCTTCTGGTTCGGGAAGATTCGAATGGTGACAGATGGGACGATTTGATCAACCAGTGTGCTAACAAAGCTCATGGCTACATCCGTAAACTCACTGACGTCGACTGAGTTGCGTCGGAGCAGCTCCCAGTCAACGTCATCTAGTGCGTCTCGAAGCGTGGCCTCTGATTGATCGGACCAGCGCCTCACCGACTTCGTCACAGGAACATCCCTTGCAAGTTTTTGTTTATATTCTGGGATCAGAAAAATGGCGCTGTGGTCACTTTTTCCGAAGCCCGGCTGTGCAACTGACTTGTATCCTTGTTTGAACTGTGTGTAGCAATGGTCCAATGTGCTGTTTCCCCTAGTAGAGCAGGTGACGTGTTGGTAGAAGTTAGGCATGACATGCTTAAGCTTTGCCTTATTGAAGTCTCCCGCTACAATAACAGCAGCATCAGGGTGCTTGGTCTGGCAGTCACTGGTCACATCATGGAGTTTAGTTAGAGCAATACTAGTGTCCGCTTGAGGTGGAATGTAGACAGCAGTGGCAATGACTGATGAAAACTCACGGGGCAGATAGCATGGCTGGCACATGATGGTCAGATGTGGAGATGAGGAGAGCAGGAACTGGAGAGAGTGGTTATGTTCCGAGGATCACACCATCTATTGTTGGTCAGAAAACAGACTCCACCACCCTTAGATTTCCCAGCCGCTGCTGTTCTGTCCGCACGAAAGATGGAGAATTTCGGCGGCGTCATGGCTTGATCCGGGACCGCGGGAGTGAGCCATGTTTCGGTGAAACAAAGGAGGTTACAGTCCCTGATGTTGCGCTGGAAATTCACTCTGGCAAGGAGGTCATCCAGCTTGTTCTCCAGAGACTGAACATTTGCAAGTAAAATACTGGGAAGTGGAGGTCGGTGAGGACGTTCTCTCAGTCGGTCACAGTCCACCGCGTTTCCCTCTGCGTTCGCAAGCTGGCTCCTGTGGGGCTCATCGCCATTGTGGTAATCGGCGTTACGGAGGATCTCTGGCGGCCACAACGGATCTACCAAGAAGGTGCCTAAAACCAGGTGATCTAACTGATTTCTTATTCTAAAAAGGGTCTCGCTATCGTATGTTATTATAGCGGAAGCTGAACGAGAAAAAGAAAAAACCAGGAAAAGATAAATAACAAGAAAAAAACAATGCCTAGTTGGAGCGCACAGAAAGGCGTCTGGCAGCGGCCGCGCCATCTTGTCTATTGTCATATTGTCCTGTCTCACAAATGTGCTTCTAGATGAAGGGGCAAAAAGTCCCACAGACACACTCCCAAATCTTGTGGAAAGCCTTCCCAAAAGAATGGCAGCAGTTATAGCTGCAAAGGTGGTAAACTCCATATTGATGCCTGAGGATTTAGAATGGGATGTCATGTCCGAGTGCTTTTGTCAATACAGTATAGTAATAGTGTAGATTGGATCAGCGAGAGGGACGCTCTGCTCTATATGACAAAATGTCTCTGACTGGCTAGGCCTAACCTTAACCAAATTTTATGAAAATCTGTGCTCGTTAGGTACCTGTGTTAGTCCCGTTGAGGACTATAATAAAAGAGCCTTTCCTGCATGTTCTGTCCCGCATGCAATGCACCTGCAGCGATGCCTCGGTCTGCCCAGCGCTACAATATTAGAGGAAGTGGTATGTGCGTGTTGTTACGTGACCTAAAGCCCATCAGAAAAAAATATCAATATCATTTAAATTATCAAATAACAAGCAATCTAATATCGGGGAGTTTCAGACTTTTTTCTCGCAAATTTATGACTTTGATTTGGACAATTCGGATTTTTTTTCTTTAAATATTACCCCCTTCCCCCAGTTTATTATTATTATTATTTTACCTTCACTGGCTCTAATACACACACTTGCATTTAATAATGTAATTACAGAATGACTCCCATGCCCAGTGTACCGAAATGTGCGACAGTCTTAATACAGAAAAAACGTAACGCCTGGAACAATCAACTTGCGTCACGGAAGGTTACAAACGGCACAAAGTTAGATAATCAACAGTAGGATCATTGAATTATCTAATATTTTTACGGGTACAGCTGTCAACAATTATGTTGCGATACACGTATTAATTTCTGTTAGAAATCCCTGATAGCTTTTTAAGTTTCATTTTTCCAAAAATGAAGCTACACCAATTGATAAATGGGATATTCCGGGAAACGAAAAGTTAGCTGACGCTACTATAAAAGCAGGCGTCTAAACCGCCAAAACTGTACAAGATGCAAGGTCTCCTCACCAGCAGATTGATCATTTAATGATCCATTATTTTTTTATTGATACAGCGGTCTATCGCGAATTGCTTATTTCTGAATATAATCCCTGACAATGAAGAAAATGTGACTGCGGTTTTTAAGGATTTTGTCACAAATCTCTGACCGTTAGTTTAGTTACTGTACAGTTATCCAGTTTCTTGACGAATAACTGCCTCATGGGTTCTTAGGTGCTCAGGGACAGTAAATAACCGACCCAGGATAAGAAGCAAAAGCAGTTTTCTCCGTCTGTTCTTGCAGGTCGTGATGGAGTTTCCTCAGAGCAGCGGGTCACTTAAGGAAGAGGACAAATTTTTCAGTAAGTGTGGCTGCAGTTTTCATTTAAAACGGAGTGTAAATTTAATGAGTAAATCTCACTGCTAGGAATCAGCTTTAATCTGTGAGATGTGCTGTTTGTAATTAATGTAACGCCATCGTTAGTGTAAAGTGGATTTTTAAAATCAGTTCATATCTATCTATCTATCTATATCTATCTATATCTATCTATCTCTATCTATCTATCTATCTATCTATCCATCTATCTATGTTGGGATTGGCCACATGACTACCGCCATATGGAAAAACTTCTAAAGCGAGTTTACAGGTTTGGCAAGGTTTGCTGATGCTTACTCTTCAGTTTTGGGTGCTCAGACTGAAGTAGCTCAAACTGTCCTGTCTGACCTCGATTAGATGGTAACTCTCTGCACAACTAACGTACCTCATGCAGGTTTTTACGTGCAGGCTTTCAGATTAAAACCGGCGTAAATCCCATCCCAGGGCTAGACATAAGGATTTAGGGGGGCACAGCCACTTTGGCCTTGGCTATTCATATTTTTTCTAGGGCACAAGGCCATTAAGCCTGGGCACAAGGCCAAAATCTGGAGTAAAAATGTTTTTTTCATTTATTTAAATTTCATAGGACACCTCGGGCCTTGTGGAGGAATTTTATTTCCATAAAGGATGCAT